ACATGGAATTTTTAGGAGAGATGGGGTTTTGCCATGTTGGCCAGGCTGGTCTTGAACTCCTGACCTCGTGTGATCTGCCTGCCCCGGCCTCCCAACAGTGCTGGGGTCACAGGAGCGAGCCGCCTGGCCGGTCTTGGGTGTTTGATAGCAGTGCGAGACAGAGTCACAGCAGCACACCTGGGAACGCCCCTATGGCAGACGCGCCTGACGGGGGTTGGGGTTCCCGGCTAGGGAATCCGGGAGGAGCCAGACAAGGCTCCAGGTCTGATCTGTGAGGAGCATCTGAGCCTCAGCCCGTCCGCCGGGGATTGAGACCCTTTGTTTTGGGTTAATGGAGGCTGACGGTGAGGCTGCTGGGGGAGAGAGCTAAGTGCAATGCGGTAGGAAGGGCGGGAGTTTTTCTGGGGTTGCGGCTCTCCCGCCCCGCCCGCTGCCGCTGGCTCCTCTCCCCTGTGTGTAGCCCCCTCTAGGACCCCATGTCTGGATCCTGGCTCCGGGTCTCTTCTCCAACCTCATGAGCCTGGCGCTGTCCCCACCGGAGCCAATAGGGGTTCAGCACAGCCCCCCAGCTCCCTCTGTCTCTGGATGAGTTGGCTGCTGGAACTTCCTAGGCAAGAACGCCCACAGTCTTTGGCGGCACACAGGGTCTGGATCCTGGCTGTGCCCCCTCCCCCAGTGAGCTCCTGCGGGACTGATGGCCAGAGGGGGGCCTGTCAGCCCTGCACCACCGCTCCCGCCATCAGCCACCCTGAGTTCTGGGCAGGGGTCTCCTGGCCACAGCCCACCCACCCCCAGAGCATCCAATGAGGCATCACCCACCTGGGATGCTGCTGAGGTCAAGCGGGGCACCGGGAGGCTTAGCAGCTGCCGGGAGCCGTGGGAAGCAGATGGTGGCTGGGCGGGCTCTGCCGGGACCCCACCCTGGTGTGACCTGTAACATGCCCGCTGTACTGTGACACCTTCTCCACTGACTGTCTGTGTGGCCACGAGGGCTGCCCTTTGCAGGTCCATTCCCAAAGCCCAGCCCTAGGTCAGCACTGGGCTCGCCTGGCCCCCCTCTGCGGACACCGCCACTGTCTGTACTGTGGTTGTTAATAGTCTCTGCGTCACGTGGCTGTTAATTTTGGAAGCCCGCCCCCTTCCTCCTCCCGCCATGGTCCTGCCTTCACACCCCGCTGCCTGAGCCAGCACCCACGGCTGTACCAGATGCTGGGTTTGGCCCCAGCTGAGGGGTTGGTGTCCCGCACACAGGCAGGACACTCTGTCCCCCGCACCTGGGCCAGTCCCCAGTGCCGAGCGATGCCTGTGAGCCTGTGTGGGGTGGGGCCCTCAGCACTGCCCCTGCCTCCCATCCTGAAGGCTGGGTGGCCTGGGAAGCTGCATTTTAATGAGTACTCCATTTTAACAGTGTGCCCACTGGAGCCGACACCATGGCCAGGAGGGTCAGCCACCCCCAGGGCCCCAGAGCGGGGCTCCGGCCCCTGTAGAAGGTCCCATCCTTGAAACCTTCGGGGGTCTCCCCTTTCTCTCAGGACCCCGGGCCACGCTGTGCCCTTGACTGTGGCAGTGTGCACCTCGCTCCAGATGCCCTGGTGGGAAGCCCCTGCTGCGGGGTCCCCAGCATGCAATCCGCATGACTTCAGGGCGCCCTGTGCTCTTGGGGACGCTCTGCGGGAGGCCCCTGAGGCGCTCAGACACCAGGACACCCCCCAGCTGCGTCCCGGCCACACAGGCCTGCTGTCCCTGCGCCCGTGTGACTGTCTTCTCCTGTCGGAGGCTGGTGACCCGCTGTGCTGTGCTGTGGGGGGCTGATCTCTGACCTCCCCTCCCGGTGCAGTGCCGTGCTGCCTGCCACGCCAGCCAGGGCCTGGAGGGGCATGTGCACCATGTTTACTGGGACCCTGCTGTGCACCAGACAGGGGGAGAAGTCAAGGCCCGCTAGGCCCGTGGCCTCCAGTGAGCATCCGCAGGCTGCAGGGGGTGGCAGTCGGTGGAACAAGTGTGGGGCGGCCGGGCTTCCGGGAGGGTCACTTGAGCTGCCGGGGGGGCTACCTGCAGAAAGGGAGGTGGGGTGCACCGGGTGGGGGTGGCCAGGGCAGAGGCCAGGTGCTCAGAGGGTGACGGGGGCAGCAGGGCCCTTCGGAGAAGTGGAGGGAGGGCGCTCCCGGCCACCGCTCCCGGGGCCTGGCCCAGTCCAGAGACTAGGACGAGAGGCCTCCGGGGTGCTCCAGGTGAGCTGGAGTGAGCCTCTGTTGCTTCTGAATAATCACAGGGGAGCCTGAGCGCAGTGACCAAGCCTCCGCCTGCAGGTGGAGGGGCCGGGCTTTTCGTCCGGGAGGTGCTGGCTTCAGCCTCCAGAGAGGGGTCTCACGGTCCGTGGTACAGGTCACGGCTAGGGGTGGGGTCCCTGGAGAGGAGTCCGAGGACAGTCCCCGCAGAGGCATCCAGCCACCCTCCAGTTGCCATGGCTCCCGGCAGCCACTAATCCCCACAGTGCTGGGCTGGACCTCTGCAGCGTCCCGGGCGGGCATCACCTTGTTTGATCCGCCTGGGCTGCGTGGACTGAGGCCAGGGGACTCCTGCCCAGAACTCAGGGTGGCTGAGGGTGGGAGGGCCAGTGCAGGGCCGACAGGCCCCCTCTCAGGCCATCAGGCCCCCAGGAGGGCCCAGGTGCTCAGGGGTGGGAGTGTCCCAGTTTGATGCTGGGAGTGTGAATAAACCCAACGCCCCTCCACCTGCAGGGCTGAACTCCCACTGGGTGCTGGGCCCTGACTCACACTGGACCCTGCACCCGGCGTGCTCAGCAATTCCAGAACAGTGGGAGCCCCAGAACATGAAGGATGGGGGCCCCGGCAGGAGCTGGAGGAACACAGCCAGGGGCGGTGGGAGGTGGAGAAACAGCTGGGGGCTGAGGCCAAACTGCAAGCATTTGGAGGAGGTGAGGGGCGGGGCAGCAGATGGAGATGGGGGCTGGGTTGAGAGGCCCCGAAGGGATCCTCAGAGTATCTGCCTTGGGAAGCTACTGGGGTGTGTGGCGGGAGGGCGGGGGTGTGGGATTGATCCCAGGTACTTCCAGAGAGGAGGAAAAGGCTTATGGGGTGGATTCTGGGGAGGCGCCCTGGGACCAGCCTGCAGCCTTCCCTGAGGGCCTGGCCGTGGGCCCCAGGCTGGGCAGGAGGGGAAGGGACCTGCTTGGCTCTGGGGCTGGAGGTGACAAAGCTGGCAGACAGGGAGACTGAGGGTGTGGACAGCTGGGGTAGAGCCAGCCCCAAGGTGCAGCAGCCTGGGCCCTCCCAGGCATCAGGCCAGGTGAGGCACTTGGCTCCCAGGGGGAGCCCCAAGGGACCCCATGGGCATGGGTGAGTGGGGCACAGGAGAGAGGCTGGTCCAGGCTCGGGCAGCAGCACGGAGAGCCCACACAGGAGCTGGGCTCCAGGCGCCCTTCCGCCGTGTTTCAGTGTATGTGAAGTCACCACTTCCTCACTGGGAGTCCTGAGACAGATCAGCAAGGGCGTCATGTAGGAGATGACCCGGGAAGGAGGTGAGTGGAAGGGAGTGGGGCCTGCATGGTGGGCCTCAATCCTCCAGGACACGCCGCCTCCCAGAGCTGTCCCCAGGAACAGCCGGGCCGGGGCAGGTATCTATCAGCTCCCAGCCCCCATACTGGTAAGCCTGGCTCTCGCAGGGGCAGGGAGGCCTCCCCAGGCAGGAGACGCCCCAGGGAAAATGGGGCAAGATGGGGTGAGCTCCAGGGAGCTGGCACTCACGGTTAGGCCAGGGACATGGCATGAGCCGGGGACTGCCGCAGGCCCACAATATACCCTGACCCAGGACACCCAGACTTCAGCAGAGCAGAAGACAGAACACACCGTGCAGCTGGCATGTGCTCTGCCCGGACCCCGCAAGGCCCCCGCAGTCACTCAGCCACTCAGGGGCAGGTGCTGCCCCTTGCCACTCTGCTGCGGCCACCCCGTCACTCCCCTCCCAGCCACAGGGCTGCCCTCTGCCAGGGCCTTTGCCCCCTGCTGTGTCCTCTGCCTGAGTCTACACTCTTGTCCCCTCCTCGGCGTGGACTGTCCTCTGCCCACCATCGGTGCCCGTTAGTCTCTCCCTTGTCACCTGCTCCTCTCTGCAGCTGTCTTCATCAGGGTCTGAGACCACCTCTGTGGAAATGCTGTGGGTTTGGTCCTTGTCTCTGCCACACTCTCACAGAGCTGGGGCGCCTGCACCTTTGAGTGTGGGCTCGGCACCTGGGAATGCCCAGAAACCGTGTCTTCCCCCATCTCCACCCCATGCGTGGACAGGGCTTGTCTGACCTGCTGGGGAACGATGCCACACTCAAGTGTCCAGGAAGGTGGCCTCCCTGCCCACAGGCCCAATGGGATGTGCAGCCCCTGCCCCTCCCGACACTGGCCCCGCCCCACCCCCTCCCGACACTGGCCC